GAAGCGAGGAGATGAGCGGGAGCAGTCCGAGATCGTCCGAAGGGTCCAGAAGGGCCTTTGCTGATGTGATCTCAAGCAAACATATTCTTCCCCTCTTGAAAAAAAAACAAACGACATGCCATCACATCACGGTACCCGTCTTCATCAGTGGCTAGCTTTGTTCGTCTACCTGATTCTTCACCATGGACCTCGAAACCGTGACTTGGTGATTTGTTATTCACTGTTTTTCACTTGTAGAGGCATCCAGCCAGTTCTGGAGGGACAGTTTTGGGGACCCAATTATGCCTTCACGGTGTCTATAGATCAACACGGGAGGGTTTCGGTGTCGTCGTTTTTTGTCCCTGTCCAACGCCGTGAACTTCGTAGGACAGCTGACTCCCAACTGCAGCTGCGATTTGATAGTGTAACTTGGCTGGAGCTCATCAGGCAAACATTTTCTGCCACTTGGGTCTTCTACGATTGGTATCATAAGGACACAACATTGACCCTTTGTTCGTTTTTTGAGGGACATTTTCGTGCATGCCATATATTGTGAGTTGACAATCATAATTGTAATCATAAGTCACCAACATGAATCATGAACCGTTGGAAATCGATGGCATTCATGATATTCATGGGCAAAAAAAAAGGGCCAGTCGACCGTAGCCCCCCTTGGAGGACGGCCAGTCGACCTGATCTTTTCGGCAGTTGATCGATTGTCTTTGAGGTCGAAGCTCCTCTTTCCCTGTCGAACAGCTCCAGGTTCGAAAAGCGCGGTCGAAGAGGACGGAAACGGATCATCGACGACAACGAGGAGCTGTTGGCAACTTCTTTTTGTTTGCAGAGGAGAACAACAAGCCATTGGCCATTGGCACATTGGCCTTTCTTTTTTTGGAGGATGGCATCAACGAGACTGGCGCCAATGTAAGATTTAATCGAGAAGCACTTGTACTCGTAGTGTGCAGCAAGCAGTAATATGTTGGCAGCTCTTCAAGTGCCAACGCTGACGGCCCTTCAAGGAGTCAGTAGCGAAGTAGCTCGCCGCAAATACATCCATATATTGATTCACGGCTGCTAACGGTTGGACATAGAGGTAGGACTCAGCACTTTCCTTTGTTCCTGTTGATTGGAGGCTTGAAAAGGAGTTGCCTGGAGTGAAGTACTTGTGGGCACCTGAGATTCGGACGGCTCTTCACGCAAGTGCTCAGTCTCAACCATCCATCCTTTTGAATGCAACATATTATTATTTATATAATTTATACAGTTCCAGTTTTGCTGGGGGATTGCTGGGATACGCTGGTTGTTAATTCAAACTGTCAGGTTCGATGTCACAACTTTTGAGGCTTGAAGACAGACATGATCTCCCAGAAATTGCTGATTGCCCCAAATGGTTCAAAGACACTAGAGGAGGCCCCCCGACTTTTCGAGGGAATGCGCCAGAGTTTTACCACATTTATGGTAAGCAAAGCCATGCTCCTCGGACAAACACAGGTGGAGTATGATGCCCCCCTTTAGCCTTGGACCAGTTTCCTTCACCAAGAGGTTCCTGTTTCAGTTGTGGATTCCTGATCGTTTGTGGAGGACACCGGAGGTACGTACCACGAGGATCAGGCATCTGCTTTATTGTTACTAGTAGCGATGGCCTCCAACCCAATAGCGATGGCCTCCACCCTAGTAGCTTCTTCCTACTAGTAGTAATGGCCTCCAACCTAATAGTGATGGTGCCCGTTGGACCTTTGATCACTCGCGGCGATCACTCAGGTTCCCTTTGGTGGACTGCTGGGAGGAGCTTCAGGAGGCACTGCCCGGCGCCGGGATTGGCTGGACAGATCTACCCCTGCTGGGAGGAATGCTGGAAGGACCTGCACAGATTCGGAGATTCATTTTCAGTGGGAGAGAGAGATTTTAGGTCCAGGATCATGGAAGATTACAAGGACCTTCTTCCTCCCAACGATCCCTGTTTGCCTGGAAAGAAACAATTGCTTTAGAAGACCAAGAGTTCCCAAGGTAGCTCCTCACTAGCTGGTGACGCTTGTGTATGTGTGTGTCTTGGGATTTGTTAGATGGTGTTGGATGTATCAACAGGAATATGTTTGGGCTTGGCATGTTCTTCATGTGAAGCCAGCAAATCACCTGGACATTCACTTGAGACCACTCAAGATTTCACGAAAGCTAGCGAAGCTAGCTGGAGTTACTCTTGCGATAGCAAGGTTTCTTTCGACCGGGTGCAAATCCTACCCCCTGATATCTTGCGGCCGCACTCGCTCACTCTCACTCTCACTCTCTCACTGTCTCACTGTCTCTCTCATCTCTCTCATCTCTCTCATCTCTTTCTCATCTCTCTCATCTCTCTCTCCTCTCTCTCTCTCTCTCCTCTCTGTCTCTCGTCTTTCCGTCTCTCTTCTCTCTCTTCTCTCGCAGGAGGATCCGGGCAAAGAGCCACATATAAAGGACTCTTCACCCCTGCCTCCAAAAAGAGCGCCGTGTTTTTTCCTACCTCGCTGCCCTCCACTTTCCCATTCTGGAGCGCTAGCTTTCGCCCCCCCCTTGGCCTCAAGTCTAGCTTGAAGCAACTATCACACAAGAGCCCTTCTTTTTTCTATGCCAGCGTAGGCGTTGTCTGATCTTCACGTGAGGGCCTTGATGAAACGAGGTCGTGCAGCATAGTTTCGGTCTCTTCTCGATCACGGCAGATCTCAATCTAAGGTAAAAGCTTTAAGCTTTGCAGCGCAATAGGTCTTGTGGCACAGAGATCGAACGCAGCGCGATCTCAGGGACGATTAAAAAAAACAAGGAGGCATTGCATTTTCATCAATGACCGCAGCGAAAAGGGTCTCCTGGAATTGTCTCCGAAAACATTTTGTGCTGATCGTACATGATCGTACTGAGGTATACCTGCAGATTCCTGATGAAACGACCGGAGACCCTGGTGGAGATGAGAATGACACAATGAAGGGCGATGTCCGTTTCGGAACAATAGAGAAGTCAGGTACAGCAAACCTATTTGTTGTACACTTAGGGGTATCAAACATGTATCAACCAACCAACAGTGAAAGGCCAACAATGAAGAAGGAATGGTTGGCATTCTTCAACCAACAATGAAGAAAGGAATCCAATTAAATATTCCAATTCTGTTCCTTTCGCACAACCTAATCTCAAACGCTTTTTGAAGCACGAATGTGGTGTCAAAGACATGTTTCTTTCACTCCATGTACACATCCCCAAAAAATGAATCTTCGCAAACATCCCCTGTTTTGAATGACTCAAGCTAGTTCTGGAAATGAGAGGGAGCCCAGGGAAGAGACCTATGACATCCAATGTGTCTGACTGAAAATCCCCCTGGCCACTCGTTCATGGAATCTGATCCACTATGTCACTCAGGTGCGACTTGGAAGTCCCGGTGGATTTGTCGCGGCCCGAAGATTCAGGCTGCAACGTTTGATTCCCTTTGAACGCACACCTTTACAGGATTCATCTACAATCAGCTACATCATGCTACATCCATACTCGACTATCCTATCCTCAATTTCTAACCAGAGCCAACCTCACACCATGGAATCAGGTCTTTACATGCCGATTTGCTGGGAAGCCTAGCCCTCCAAGGTCAGCTCTCCTGGCGGCCTCTCAAGAGGTGGCTGTTGAGGCCCAAGGATACGGAAGACGAAAGAAAACCCGAGATGTCCAGAGTTTAGAGTTTAGAACAACAGATATGCAAAAGTGGAAGCGGATGGCATGGCATACACTGTGGCATGGTTCCAAACTCTCTGGAATAGTCATGGAAGCGGATGGCATGGCCTCTTGGATGACCATTTTCCGAATACCAAACTGGTTAACTCTACATCCATGATGCTTCCAGGGGAGTGTATGAAGATTCTACCAAAGCTGATTGGTTGGTGTATTTTGAAGCAGAAAAGGGGACACCTAACACATGTTCAACTTAGAGTAGGGGAATCTTCTGCCCCATAGTTGGGGCTATTGGTTGGAATTGCTTCCTTGCTTCCACATGTTTCAAAGCAGTTCTTCTCACGCTTGAAGATGTAGCTTCCGCCCTGCCACATCTGTGCCATCGCGATTGCATCTGTTTCATCGGCATTTCTTCGCATGCAAATTCGCAGGTGCGAAGCGCTCCAGTGAAATGCTTGGACACAGGAAGATTTGCGCTCTTTTCTCGCGCGTGCTAGACCAGCGTGCTTTTTCAGCCAGTGAATTGGATCATTACTCTTTTTGAAGAAGCGCCTGCACTATTCACTATTCATTTGGTTCCTACCCGTAGACTTTTTGGATCAATTCTGTTATTTGTTTGGCGTTGCCGGTACGGCAAAGGAAAACACCCCACGCGGAGTTTGGTTGTGCGGTTTTCTGAGTGTCACATCGGAGGCATCAGTTTCGGGCGAAGATCTGGAAGATGGCAAAGACTCGTTTCTTTTGTTGTGCTCTAGGAAATGACTTGATCAGTCTTGAGATAGGGGCAGCGTAACTGTGATGTGTGATGCGTAGCAATGTTCAATCCTCTTAAAAGGCCGAAATGATATGCTATGTTGAAGACAATCAATCTGGTAGACATTGCTCATGCAAAATTTGTTCACACCTTTCAAAGCCGTACAAGACCCAACAACCTGCAGGTCTCCGTTAGGTCCGCTTTGGAGTCTCGGTGAGGTGAGGAACCTTCTCCGTCCGCTGGTGAGGACTCCCGTTTAGGGCAACTCTGTCTCGAGCACACATGGAGCCTGAACAGGTGCAGTGCTCAGCGGAGGGAGCATGTGATCTACTACCGAACTTGCTCCATACAAGTTCTGCGTCACCATGTTTAAACTGCAGATCATGTCAGCTATTCCCAGGTGCACTTGGCGCTAGAAGTGCCACAAGACTTGGGCATTTGGGAGAGAGGCCGGCAGGGGAGGGGTTGCATGAAAGGGTATCCTCCATGCAATGATGGAAGCGGACAGTCATCCCCTCAGCAGAGCAGGCGCTTCATCGTCTGAAGGCGCTCCATCCACTTCCATGATTGCTGGATATGGGAACATAGGATAGAACTCGAGAAGCCGGTGCGTTACTTGGTGCGTTGCTTCTGGCGTGTGGTAGCATGGGAGTGACGGACTCTCCACCCGAGAACATTTGAGCTATCAGCTGCCGAAATAAGATGTCTAGATGCACAGGCCATGTTTGGACATGTTTGGTTTGGACTCATTTGTTGCTTTGGCTTGAAACACTCAGCGGTGTCGAAGATCCGGCGCCACAAGTCGGACGCTCCGTGGATTTCTCTCATCAAGTGGCACATGTCTGAGCGTTTGACTCGTGAATCCGAGCCTCCAGCCCATCGTCCTGGGTGGGCCTTTCGATTGAAGAGATCTTTGGCTTATGAACGCGTTTGGAAAGGGACAGAAGGTGTTTGGGGATGTTTGGACCCCTTGAATAAGGCCCTCTTGAAAGGGGCCTTATTGAAAGGACCCTTATATAATATATTTATATATAGTTATGAAGCTGTGCTCAGGGAACCACTGGTAGACATGAAAAGATTATTTTAGCAAAATAACTGCTAAGTGAATTAGAGAGAGAAACAGCACCATGAAAAGTTTAGTAAACCTAATTAGAGAGAGAAATAGCACCATCAAAAGTTTAGTAAACCTAATTAGAGAGAGAAATAGCACCATCAAAAGTTTAGTAAACCTAAAAAGAGAGGTGTCCGTATCCCAGCTTGCATGGCCCTGATGTATCCCAGCTTCCTGTCTCTCGGTGGCCCTGTAAGTCCACGGTCCTAGGTCCTAGCTAGTAAGTAGCTAGCAGCGAGCGGGCTTATAGGCCCGCTCTAACTATTTGCAGTTTCCCTGCCCTGCTCTTTTTCTCTCACTATTCCCGCTCTAACTATTTGCAGTTCCCCTGCCCTGCTCTATGTCTCTCACTATTGTGTTCCACTAATATTTCCCACCTGCTAATGGATTTGCTATTTCTTTTTGCTATTTCCTCGAAAAATAGCAAAAAACTACCATATCATGACATCCAAAATAGAGAAAAAAAATAGTGACTCTGAAACCCTCACACAATAGAATAGAAGAGGAATAGGCTGGCAGCGGAGTGTGACCAGTGACTAGTGACTAGTTTACTGAACCGTGACTTGTTGACCCGACAAACAGGGGTTGAACAATGGAGATAGGCCCAGATAGGCTATATGGCATAACCGGGCATAACCATGAGCCCGAAGCACACCGCAACCGGAGTCTGCCTGCTCTCTCTCTCTCTCTGGCATCTCAGGATATCTCAGGACTTGTCTCAGACTGCTTTCCCCACCCTAATCTATTTCACTAATGTGAAGCACTATAGATTCCCAGGTGCTTCCCCCCTCTCTAAATAAATCTGCAACATTTTTGCTAAATAAATGAATCATGATTTCCAATGGTTGGCTAAAACCCGACTTCATAAATATATAGACTATATAGAGTCTTATATAGAAGAACATACGATCTTATTGTCCTTTCTTTGGACGAACCCGAACCCTTCAATTTGATTCAGGCATATTCAAAGCCAGCCAAAATTCAGTCTTGGCTATCTTAGTGAGAATGAGAGTGTTTGGGCGAATGGACGAAACACCTCAACCCCTTGTGACGTCTACTGAAGGAAGCTGCAACATCAAGCTTTGGAGGTAAGAGGGCATAAGGCGGCTGTGAGACTGAACACTCAGGGTCTGAATATTTTTCCATCTATGGAAGGCCATTCTATTTTTTTGGAACATTTGGAACCTGCAATGGAAGTGTTTGTAGTGACTTTCCAGTCCCATCTTCCGAGCAGCTCAGGAGTCTTCTTCGCGCTAGCTACGGTGGCCAGTGTTGTGGCTGTTGCTTGCTGGTATGCATCACCGCCGCCAGCTCCAACACCGGCTCCGCCATCTCCCACACCGGCTCCGCCAGTCGGCGGCAGAGTCATGACAGCAGACTTGGCAGCAGCCAATCTGTGGAGGTCCAAATTTCCAGAAAGCTCACCATTGTATCAAGATCTACCCGAGACATGCTTCCAGGAGAGAGAATGTGAATACAACCGGGTTGAGGAACATGATTTCCACAAATCAACCTCAACCTTGTTGGATCGCTTCTCACTACACTTCGGGGTGAAGGCCAAATTCTTGGGCTTGACGCTTCCTTTTAGCTTGGGCTCGTTTTCAGAGACACGGCGCTTGAGCGAAGAAAGGCAGTCATTTTTCTATTCAGCCTTTGTGCGACGTGCTTGCGGCCCCACGCTTGCGGAGCACTGCAGGTATGATCCCTCGCTGCTAAGTCCTCAGTTCAACGAAACCCTCAAGCGCTTGCTGCAAGAGCACCCTATTGGCATGGGAGATCGTGACTCCCTTGAGCATTGGGAGGAGGAAACTGCACGCGCAGGTTTGAGCGGGACCCATGTCCAGGTTGGAACGGAGCGAGGGGCACAAGTCAAATTCTTGGTGTCCGTGGAAGTAATGACAGATTCTGTTGGGAATTGCTTTTCAGTGGACTTATGCCAAGATCTGAAGCCTTTCTTGAAGCGCTTTGATGTTTCTTGTGATGCATCTGCATCAGTGTGTCATGGAAGCCAGATGACATCCACAACACTACACCAAGAGTGCTCCTTCTCCGGAGGTGATCCTTCTGCGAGTTTCATGTGCGATCCACGCAAGTGGATGGCTGAAGATGTGGATAGGTTCCTTCTCAGCGGTGACCCCAATAGCTCCAAAACCATCTACCGACACCATTGGGAAGAGGTTTCGGAGATTCTGGAGAAGATGCACTGGATGGAAGCGGCTCATGCCATGGAGACCTTGGCAGATTTTCGGACTTGTAAAGGTGAAGGCAGGAAATGGCTGGCTGACGAGACTGGCAAGTTTGCTTGTAGATGTGTCTTGTCGTGTGGAACAGGCAGGCTCTTGAAGGAGAGCTGTACATGCGCATGCCCCGGCAATGCCATGCATGGCTGGATGGGCCCCACTTGTTCAGAGACCTATGGCAAATGCATGCCCGGCAAGAACACTGGCAACCCGGGAGGGAATGCTTGTGATGTAGGAAACCAATGCAGTTGCCTTAGCGCGTCAGAAACATGCAAGGCAACTGAAGTGTGCTGCTTGACTGATTTCAATGCCAAGTGCTGTGGCTTCGGCCACATGTGCAATTGTGGTGGTGTCACATGTGAATGTGTACCGGAAGCTGCCAACCAGTCAATGTTTATAATCTGAGGTGGCTCCTTCAACAGCATTTGCCATGCTGCTACGTATATCATGTTGAGATTTTCTTTTCATCCGAGTGCACATGATGCAGAATCTTCAACACACACACGCACTTAGATTGATGCTCGCAAGAGCTAAATCAGTTGACGAAGTTCCACTTTACTGCAATTAGACCTTTGCACGCAGTTAGACCTTGGCTGAGGGAACGGAAAGGTGAAGAAGTCCTGAGAACAGAAATGTTTAACATCGCTCAGTAGCCCTTTAAAAAGTGCAGGTACAGGAATGTGCGTCCACATTCCCTTCCGGCTGAATCCCATAGCTTCGTTGGCATGGCTAGGGAAACAGCTGCCATGCCCCCTGCAGCGAAAATAGTTGACCACCAGTGGTGAATTATTCAGTGCAGATTCCTTGGAAACAGGTGTAGACACACACAAGAAGCTGGAACGGCGCGCCCTCTTTTTCTTCGGCGGGAACGGGGTGGGGGGGGTTCAGGGTGTGGGAGTGCGTTGACTAAACGAGCCTGGATGTCTACCTAACAAGCCTGAGAGAAAGAAGACAAACGAAAAGGCAAGAAAAGAAGAGAAAGGTGCAAGGGGGTGCGGTGGTGTGGGCTGGGCGCGCATTGATTAGACGAGCCTAAGTGCCGACCTAACAAGCCTGAAGGAAAGCCCAGACAAACGAAAAAAGGCAAGGAAAGAAAGGGTGCAGGGGGTGTAGGGTGGGGTTGGGGTGGAAGGCCTGGCAAAAGCTCATGCATTGGTGTTGCACTGGCCCGAAGGCACTGGCAAAAGAAGCCGTCATCGGCGCTGAAAAACCTCAGTTACACCTAAAAAGCCTCTAGAAAACGAAAAAAGACCTAGAAATCGAAAAGCAACAGCAGGAGAAAAAGAACCAAAAGGACATGTGAATTCTTAGCAGCAGGGCCTTAGACTACCTAACACATGGCGTGGACATGTGAATACTTAGCCGCATGAGAATACTCAGCCGCATGAGGAATTCCGTGCTGGAGTTTGATCTCAGTAAGCCCTGCGGCGTGTGATCTGCGTTTTCAGGTGCAGGACGAGGGAATAAGGGTATGTGCACATGCTGCTCCCCTGGCTGGGGATCACACCAGCAGACCTCAGTGGGACCCTGTGGCGATACACACTTAGATTGATGCTCGCAAGAGCTAAATCAGTTGACGAAGTTCCACTTTACTGCAATTAGACTTTTACACGCAGTTAGACCTTGGCTGAGGGAACGGAAAGGTGAAGAAGTCCGGAGAACAGAAATGTTTAACATCGCTCAGTAGCCCTTTAAAAAGTGCAGGTACAGGAATGTGCGTCCACATTCCCTTCCGGCTGAATCCCATAGCTTCGTTGGCATGGCTAGGGAAACAGCTGCCATGCCCCCTGCAGCGAAAATAGTTGACCACCAGTGGTGAATTGTTCAGTGCAGATTCCTTAGGAACAGGTGTGGACACACACACACACATCTAGGCTACACTGATGACACTTGTCCGACACCACTGCCCCGTTCAAGCTGCATGGCATACGCTGCTGCACTTGCTTGGAGAGCTGTGGCGATGGTTGAAACATCCGCAAGGTGATGCTGCGGCCTTCGCGTGTTGCATGTTTGATCCTTCAGGCCTTGGTTGATTGAAGCACAGAAATGTGTCCTAGGTGTTGAGATTCAGGACTTTGGCCTTTGGAACCCAAAACTTCTGAACATGAGAGACCCTCAGCTGTCTACAAGTAAGCAAGACACATCCAAACAATTGCATACACACTGGTACCCGCATGATGATTTCGCCTTGCATTCATTGTTTGGACCCATGTTTGTCATAGAATTCGCCCCCATTCTCCCACAAACTCTCCCAAAACCACACCGCTGCAGCGTGGACCTGTGCCCGATGAGGTGCGCGGCTTCTGGCCGTGGGCCCAAGGCCTTGGATCCTGTGGTTTCTGTGGCTTCTCATGTCGTAAGGACATTGCTCCGTTCGACCGACTGGCTTGGATGGTAGTAGGAGGTAGGGTATTTCTATATGCAATTATTTAAGGGCTGCCGCCCCTGCCGCCGACCCCGGGACTCATCAAGGAGCAGGAGTACTGCAGCTTGCAGTCGGCAAAAAGCTATGAAACAAACCGATCAAATTGGACGGGTTGTTCAACAGTTGAAGCAGGTACACTTCAGAATGCAATAAATTACTGTAAAGCTTTCAATATTCTCACGATGGCTGGCGACAAGACTTACGATCAAAATGGAAACTTGACGGCTTTTCCCAATCTAATTCTGGTCCAAAACGAGCCTCCCCTGGTTCCACTTTGGGTGCCAAACGCCGCCTCTGAATCCCTAGAAAAAAAAGGACGTCTGTTGCCATTTGTTTCGCTCATCTTGGCCCCGAACAGCTGGTCACTCCACGGCTTTTCCCAATCTAATTCTAGTCCAAAACGAGCCTCCCCTGGTTGCACTTTCGCTGCCAAACGCCGCCTCAGAATCCCTAGAAAAAAAAAGGACGTCTGTTGCCATTGGTTTCGCTCATCTTGGCCCCGAACACCTGGTCACGCCACGGCTATTCCCAATCTAATTCTAGTCCAAAACGAGCCTCCCCTGGTTGCACTT